AACTAGGAATACGGATCCAATCGCAAAAGAAAAGAACCTGGTTTCTTTCTTTTTTCTTTTTTTTTGGCCGAAACACGGCTGAAAAGCCCTAAAGCAAATAGGCAAAGAATGCGGAGAGGACAGAAAGGAAAAATAAAGAAACAATCTCATGAATGCGTTTTCTTGGGCTTCAAATGAGAGTGACAACTTCCTAAGCGCTGTTGGGGGCCGGGCCCGGGGTCCGCTGCAGAGCTGACCCGCACCCAGAGCGCGTCTCTACTCCCCGCGCCCTCCCTGCTCCCGCAAACTCCCGGGAGAGGCTCCATTTTTGTATGTGTAATCCCCCTTTTTTATTTAAAGTGGCAAGAAAGAGGAAGCAAGCCGCGAGGCCAAGATTCCCTATCAGCTTTTCCGCTGACAGGTTGTATTTCGAAGAACAACCGAGCCCAAGCTGTGTGATCCGGCGATTCTCCATTCCATTCTGCCCCCAGTTTCTCTTTTTCCCACCCAGATTATTCGCGTTAAATTATCTGCACAGCAAGAAAGATAGTCTTGGCACGCCAAACCACTTCTTGGAGTCCGCGTATTCGCGCCTACCCACCCTTTTTTCTGCTCCCGGTCCCTGACGCAAGCAACCCGGGGCAGAAGAGTTTGTTCCTTTGCTGAGAGCCTAGAGGGAAGTGCAGTCCGGCTCTTCCCCGGCTGCCCGGCGGTGTGCGGTCAAAGACCGACTGTCCGCTGAGCCAAGAATTTTCGCGACATTGGTACAGACCCCGGCGGCTTCCGAGCCAGCGGGAACCCGGCCCGCCTCTGCCCTGAGTTCGCGCCCTAGAAAAGGATGGTGGACCCTGGAAGAGGGTGGATGTCGGGCAGGCTGGGGCAGCCTGGGCTTTAGCCGGCTTGGTTTGGTCGGCTTTTGACGCAGTACGCGTTCTGTAAAATTGTGACAGGTTATTAGCAAGGGAAGGGGCACGCAGGGTCACCAAGACGCCGCACGTCGGGCTGAGAATTCTAAGGCTGGCGATTCCTGGTCCCGGCCCAGCCCGCTGGCAGGAGCGCAGCCCGTAGTCGCTCGGCATCTGCGTGGGAGCGGGTCTCCCCTCACCCTGTAGCCGCCAGACACGAGTTCCAGGCCAGGGAGGCAACGGGCAGGGTTTCAGCACCAGCGCGTCGGGGACAGGGAATTCTCCTCGCGTGTGAAACCAGCCGCTCTTCTTCCACGCCCGGTTCCCGCTCAGTCCTCAAGCTGCCGCCCCCGGGAGACAAACTCGGGGGCTTGCTCTTAGATAAAACAACAACTTAAAACTGATGTTGCTGTCCACGAAAACATCTAGACCAGGGAATCTGTACAGAGGCCGTAATATTCAAGTGGGTGCTCGGTCAGACCCCTGATTCCAAGGCAGAATTCATGACCACCAAACGGACAGGTTTTACCCGGGATAGTGGTTCATTAAAATAGTCTGCGCAAGAATAACCGGGGTGCAAGAGGCCGCGTCTCTGCTCGGGGCTGTGGGCAAAGCCCTCCTCGCCCCAGGTCGGCTGAGTAGGGGAAATCCACTGCCTTTTGTTTGTAGGTGAGTGATGTGCATTTGTGGCAGCAGCCGAGCAAAGGGGGGAAATTAATTGCACCCAATTAATAATTAATCCCTTTTAAACAGCTTTATTATCTCTCCCGAACGACAGGGATTTGTCTGATAACCCCCCGAAGACCAAATGTCAAGTTTAACCAAATAGTTATTGCTTTATCAACCCGAGTCTGCAAATAAATTAATCAAAAGCAAATCTGTCCTTTGTGCGGCTCATTTGCTGGTAATGGATGGATATGAAGATTTGCCGATATTATTGTCTGTCATTCAATCTAACAAAGTGAACATTTATTGCATATATATTAAAAATTATCCCGGAATCGAGTGGCGCCGGCTTGCATTTATTGGAGTCTTCCCAGGGGTGAAGTCCCCTCGGATGAGGGCTCGTGGGGAAGAGAAAAGTGCGAGAGCGCGCATCCCAAATCTCTTTAAGCCTCTGCACCCGTCTCTGCCCCCTCCCCGCGGCGTCCCGCCCCCTAGCCTTTGCCCTCTTGGGGGGTGGGCGCGGGGGGGGGGAGGGAACGTGCCGGCTGCCGCCTGCCGCGCGGCCGAGGGCAGCCGAGCTGCTGTCAAAGCCGAGGCCAGGAGCGCCGACCACTCGCAAAAGCATCGGCCCGAGGAAATTTGGGGTGTGATTGAAGAGAAAGAAGCGGGAGGGGGGGACAGCTTCCCTTTGTCTTCTGTCTGGTTACATCATTTTCTAATTAGGCATAAAATTGTCTTCATACACTGGTATTGCGGCCTTCATAAACATAGTCATTATGGTTCATAAGGACGCCATTGTGGGGCCGCCTTCTCAAAATAGAAAGAAGTGGGGCGGGCGAGCCTGGAGTCCGGGAGGCCCGGCTTTGTCCTCCCCTGGGAGAAGATGGATGGCCAGTGTCACGCAGATGATGACTCGGGACTATTAAATTGTCCGAGGGGGAAGACCCTCTACCAGCCCCCGGCAGGATCCGGAGGCTTCGGGGTGGGAAGGGAGGGCCAGGTGGCCGGCTTAGCCGGGCAGGTTGGAGGCCGAGGCGGCTGAGTGCCCGGCGGGAGCGGAGTGGAGGGTGGTCGGGCGCCGAGGTGCCGGTCTTCTCTCGGCCAGGCCCTGCGCTCTGCGCCCGGGGCACACCGGATCTCGAGCTGCCCTCTCACTCCAACCGCATCGCCAAGGCTGGGGGGCAAGTGGGGCCAGAAGACGGACAGCGGCAGCAAGCCCCGAGCAGTGCAGGGTGGTGCCAGGCGGGGAGACAATTCTTCCCATTCTTCGAAGCGGAGACCCGAGGCGGGCCTCCCACCGGCGGGGGGCACGGCGCTAACTGGCTAGAGATGGATGGAGGCTCCTGGAGCCCCCGGCGTCGTGTCAGACCCCGGGCAATTACTGTCCCGCCAGGATGGACACGCTGCCCGCCACCCTGACCCCGGCGCGCGGGCCTACTGGCTGCCCGAGTCGCCTCGGCGGTCCGCTCTCCCTTTTACAATAACCCGACTTGACATAAATAACTCCCATGCGCTTGTCTACATCTGCCTGACCTCCTGAACCCGCGGAGAATCTTTGCCGCATTTACCCAAGTTACATTTTTCTTTATAATAAAAAAGAAAAAGAAAAAAAAAACTTTAAAACTGTAAATTCTAGTCTGCTGTCTTGTTCCATCTAATTCGAGTTCTTGTGTGTTTGCTATTCACATTGCTGCCAGACGCACCAATTCGCTTCTGGAGGTTGGGGTCCCGCCCGCCTGTGCCGCAAGCATTGGTTGCGCTGGTGCAGGCACCCCTGAGCTTTCCGAGGTGACCTGAAGGCGCCCTGAGGTGGTCCCGCCTCTGAAATCCCCTCCCCTGGCCAGACCTTGAGTAAGGGAGAAGGAAGAGTGGGTGCTGATCACCGGCTTGGTCCTGGGCTGTCTGAGGTCGCAGCTGGGGCCAGGCCAGCCAGCCAGAGCAGCCTGGCGCCTGGCGTGTGCTCCCGCTGACCTGATCCAGCAGGGCTGCGGGGGCGGCCCGGAAGGGCCCGTGCTGGCGCCACGCGCTGCGGTCACCAGGCGCCAAGACTGGAGGGAGCGGATAGTGGAGGGGGGCAGGGGGGATGAGTCCGAAGATTCCAGGGAATCGGCTGGCCAGGCTAGTGTCCAGCGTGGATCCCCAGCTGGAGCTGGCCTGAAGATGCCAGAGCCGGCCTTGCTCTGCGAGGCTTCCTCTGGGTGGGCGCTGGGGGACAGCGTGCCACTGACTTCCTGTAAGTCATCTCCGGTCTACTTAGGCCCAGCTGGCCATGAGTCAGAGGATCTAGACAGCATCTCAGAACTTTCAAGATGGAAGAGCTCTTAGAGGTCGGGTGGGCAGAGTGACTTCTCATCTGCCCCCATCTGGGAGCGGCCTCCTGACCTTCTCTGACTTCCCCACCTGCGCAGGGATATCTGGGGAGCCAAGGCTGGGCTCAGGGGTGGTGGGATGTTGCAATTTCAGGAACAAGATTCTGACTTTGCACCTGTTACTAAGGCAAAACAGAACAAACAGTGATCTTCAGATTCTGAAGCTCTAAGACCAGTTTTCCTCATAACACTTTCTTTCCATTAAAAAAGGGTCATTTAAATGTCCCTACTTCTGGAGTATGGTTTTTTATACCGTCATTGTTAATGTCATTGGAGGTAGGCCCAAGTGGTGTCTCTTTGATTACTGTTCCTAATCCTAGCCATCCACTTACTAGCCATTAGTCATTCTTTAATTAATTCTAGAAACACTTTGTGAGGGGATGTTCCACATGAGATACAAGAGAAACAGAAAACACTACCCCCAAGGAACTTGCAGTTTCCTTGGAAGAAACATCGAGTGTTGTGGATACTGAAGGGTTTCTGATGTAGCCTGGTTATAGAACCTCAGGACTCAGGTTGAGCCTAGATTTGCCACTTCCTGACTCTAGGACCTGAGCTGGGTACTGAAAGCCTCTGAGCTTTGATTTTCTCCTGTGTAGAGTGAACCTGTTGGGATATATGCTCTGGGAAAGTGAAAGTCACTCAGCTGTGTCTGACTCTTTGAGACCCCATGGACTGTAGCCCACCAGGCTCCTCTGTCCATGGAATTCTCCAAGTAAGAATACTAGAGTGGGTTGCCGTCTCCTTCTCCAGGGGATCTTCCCAACCCAGGGATCAAATCCAGGTCTCCCGCATTGCAGGCAGACTCTTTACCGACTGAGCCACCAAGGAATCCCCTAAATTCTCTGGGTGCTCTAAAACACATAAGTAATAGCCATAGTCCAGATAGAGATGAGCACCAAAGCGCCTGCATGGGCTTGAGGAAGACCTCACTTTCTCTCTGTGCCTCTGAATTTTGCATTCCAAATAATAGAGGACAAAGTTTAAGGAAGGTGTGGAATACGTACTAGATTCGGAATCTCGATTCTGAAAAATCAGTTGGCTTATTTAATCTTTCTGTGTCCTCACCAAATAGTGGGCATTTCTACCCTATTTACTCCACAAGGTAGTTCTAAGTATCAACTCTCATTAGGTATGTAAATGTGTTTTAAAAACTAACAGGCATCTTGGGAATGAGAGCCGTGGCTCCTTCTGTAGAAGGGAGGTGAGGGGTGGATGTGCGGCTGGCTGGGGTGGGGTGAGGTGGGCTTGTCTTTTGGCTCTGCGGGAATGGAAGGATGCTGAGTTTAGGCAGCAGCTGTCCACTACTGGAATGACTTACCTTTTCAGCATCTACCTGTGGATATTAAAGAGAAGGGCTTGTCCTACATAGGCAAAGCCCTAGAGCTCTAGCACAGACAGCCGGAGTACTTGATTCAGGAAGCTTCACTGAATTTTCAAGGCTCTGCTGCAGCAAGTTTCTTTGAAAATAAGATTTGTTATTGATTGGGAAAAAAGTCAGCAATGGGAGATATTCTCTTGAAGCTTTGTGATGGTCCACCCCTTCTGAAGAAATACATACTTTCATTCTTAGCAGGAAAAAATGAGCCTGCTCATTTTGACTCAAAAACCAAACCATTCTTCTCATTCTATGCTCCTTGCTAAGAACTTTGCTAGCTCACTCAGGGAGGTGAGGTGCATTTTAAAAGAAACTTTACCTCCTGGCTGAACCGGGAGAAGGACAGTCACAGTGGGTTCTGAGAGGAAGGACTTTGACTCTAGAGAGAGTAAGCGCCTTTGAGGTGGAAACCTTGGGAAAGGGGAGAAGTGACGTGGGGGTGAAACTCCAAGAAGCTGGTCCACGGTTCCCTTGACGGTCAGAACGTTGATAAGGCAGCTAGTTAGCAACGTCTTCATCCCTGGTGGCATGTGGAAACCTTCCAGCAGGTTCTCAATTAAGGGAACTGCCTTTCCTTTCATTCGCTTCACTTTTGTGTTAAATGTTAACAACCTGATGCTATCTATTATGGTGCCATTATCCCAGAATGTTGACTGAACTGGTTCTTTTATCTGTATTATGGGGCTGCCTCACTTGCAGATTTATGCATTTTTGATATTAAATTCTTTCTCTTGTTAAGCCTCAGCTCTTGTTGACTTTCATTGACCCCCTGCCCCGTTCCCCAGTACTCTTCCATATTTAATGTTGAAACGTTTTTTCTCAGTGCCGCTCCTGGCTTTGTTGCCATCCGCTTGACGGCTGTCCCTAATGGCCGGTGCTGTTTGCTCTGTTCTTGAACTTGGTGGGGTCACACAGTCTTCAACAGTGATGTCCTCTGAATGTCCACCCTTGCTGTCCGGCTAAGCTGCCCTGTGTCACAAGCTCTGCCCTTTTCTCCGCCCCTAACTCCCAACTGCCCCTAATCACTTAAACAAACACCTTGCCTCCTGACGCCCCAGGCCCCCTGAACCTTTTGGGTTTTGTTAGCTGAGCTGCTAATGCTCAGCCCGGCCCACAGGCGGCTTGGCCTCCCTGACCTGATACATCGCAGCTCTGCTCCTTGGAGCGCCTGCCTTGTCCAGCGCCCCCTGGGCCAAAGGCCAGGGTCCGGGCAGGGTTGACCAGCTGCTTGAGGTGGCCACAAAAGACACCAAAAAACAACCTCAGCTAGGAGCAGGCAAATGAATGTATTCATTTATCTTTCTTCCCCCGTCACCCCAAACCTACCCACAAACTCAATCGACTGCCTGGCTTGAAACAAGACAAAGAGAAAATATTGGGAAGTTGTGCGGGGGTGGGGTGCGGTGGGGTTTGGTGGGAGAGGCCCCTCTCACACCAGAAATCTTAGCTCCTTCTTGGGGGCCGTCTGCTCAGTTTCACAACACTTACAGACCAATTTCCAGAATTGAAGTTGCCTGGTGTTTTGATTCTTCCTTTGCCTGTGCATTTGTGCCCTGAAGGTCCCTTCCAAATGGATACTAATTGTGGGGGCTGCACGCTGCTGGCTGCTCCAATGCCCCAGGGCCTCGGAGGACCTGCTTCTCAAAGCCTTAATTGACAAGGACCTGTCTGTATTTAGGAGCAGCTGGTCCAGAGCCTTGGCACATCAGGGCAATCTTAACGCAGCATCCCTAGCCCCGAGGAGGATGAGGGTAAATGTGGTTAAAATGGAGGAAGATTTATAGCTGGCCCCCTTGGGTAATAGGACAGAAGACAGCTCCTAAGATTTTCCCCTACGAGGGGGTTCATTCATCAGCTCCCGGGCCTGGTAACCCGGTAGGAGGCGCGCTCCAGCTATTATTAGTAATGGGGGAGAGGAGGAGGGCAGCTTCGAACAATTAGGCAGGTGACAGTATTCGACTACAATGCACCGTCCCCCAAACCGAACCGCCACTGCGCTGTCTCCTGCTTCCGCGAGCCTCGGCGCCGGTGCCTCCGCCTGGCTCTGGCTCTGGATGAATTAGTGGCGCCGCCGGAGGGCTGGGGAGAGAGCGCGGAGGACGCCGGGCTGGCCTGCCCGGGGACACCGAGTGGCCGCTGGGACTCTCGTTTGGGCGTCTTAAAGCCCCGAGCGGCCGGTGGCAGGGGCGGCTGCGTAGACTAGCCGCTCCTTCCTGCGTCCCGGCAGGCGCGCCGGGCTCCGCGGCTTCCCAGCTTCCCGTTGCACGCCGCCCTGAGAGCCCTTCTGAAACCAGCTCGCTCCGTAGATACAGCCATTCAACGGGTCACAAAGGGGTTGATTGGTTCACTGGGAACCCGGTTTTGTTGCGATGTGTGGGAAATACTTTGATGTGCGCCCAGTTCGCACGTGTGAACAGGGATAATGGGTTTGGGGATCTTCATTGAAACTTGAAGTTTTAAAGCAGAAATCCCCTAACTTTTGCCTGTTTTTCTCAACTTTTTCTTTCTTTTTTTTTATTCCTTCAGGAACAATGCCAACATTGAAGCCCGCGGTTGGAGTCTGCACAGTTGGAGATCTTTGGTGCCATTTTAGACATCTTTGGATTTCATCAATCAAACTGACTGCAATTTTCCATAAAAACCCTGAATTTGGGTCAGAAAGTGGGCAAAGTAGATAAAGATCATTCGAGCTGTCTTATGAGATGATAAATAGATATCCTTTCAGGCAACAATGGCAAAGTGCAGTTTTGTGATTCTCTTCCATGGGTTCTGAATGCAGTGAGTCGAAACGATTTATCCATGTTTTCCCATGGTTTAGGAGGTGTCTTTACTTACTTGTCTCTAGTAATCTGACCTTTCCCCTACTGAGTTGCTAAGTGTGCTACTTTAAGTATTTTGTTTCCTTCGTGTGTGTATGTGTGTTTTCCCCAAAACACACACAGAAAGTTTTTTTTTTTCTTCATTGCTCAAATCAGTAGGATATGGGTCTGATCTAGACAATTTTCTGCCCCTGATTTGGTGTGGAAATTCCATTCGCTTGGTGGTTGCTCACAGGGCACTGGAGATACCATTTTAGATACCATGCTGGGTTGTAAACCCATTTTCCTAATAATAACAACCACAGCAACTCCCACTGGCACTGTGTCCTTCCTAATCTTGAACTTGACAAATGGCCTTTTATATAAGGTGAATAAAAGGAAACACTAAAAAAAACAGGAGAAACTCCCAAAGGGTATTTAGACCACTACCTCCAGAGACCTTTCAAAGTGTTAGCTGAAATAATTTCCAAGTGAAGAAGAACATTTTACATTTTCCTCATCATTATGAAGAAAATTATGTTTACTCAGCATGCACATCGCAGACTAATCGCTGATGACTGAGGTTTCAATCCCCCTCCTTTGAAGTCTTCTTGATCCTTCCCCTGCAGATGTTTTCATTTTGATAATCCCTTCACCCAATGTTTTTAGTTAACCAACTATCTTAAAAGATTTTTGAAGGATAGTACTGGCTTCTCATTGAGAAGTCATGTTTGACATTCTTAGTTGTTTATGAATTAATTATCTGGTATGTCCTCATGAACTCATAGATCTTGTGGAAGTATACTTGATTATGCAGCAAATATTTATAGTTGTTGATGTAAGATTTCCTCTTATACTCATAGGAATATCATCTCCTCTTTGTGCTTTGCTTTTTCATATTCCCCAACTTTTTCTGGTATCTCGGCTGGTAAAGAATCCGCCTGCAATACCGGAGACCTGGGTTCAATCCCTGGATTGGGAAGATCCCCTGGAGAAGGGACCGGCTACCCACTCCAATATTCTGGCCTGGAGAATTCCATGGACTCTATAGTCATGGGGTCGCAAAGAGTCAGACATGACTGAGGACTCAGCGACTTTCACTTTCATTCCCCAACTAAAATATCAAATGTATGTTACAAAGCATCTATAGAAGAGACTACGGTGCAGTGGGAGTTAATTATTGTTATTAACTTACTGGCTTTATTAATTTTGAATGAAGCACATAGCTGCAGCTACAGTTATTTAAGTACTCATTATTAGCTAAAATAATTTGCAATTTTTGGATACACTCTCACTATGTAAAACTTAAAATGGCAATTGAAGATTCAGAAAAAATTCCCTCCTCTCATTTGTCTTTAATAAATCTTTCTGTCAAGTATTAAACATTTTAACTTAATGTATAGCTATTTGAAGGATCCTTTATATTACTTTTTCAATTTTACATTTTAAAGGGTTGAGAACATATCTACTAAATCTAATATCAAATGATATTTTAAATTTAAAAGTATTTTCTGGAATTCAGAAAAACTGCTTCAAACCATAAATTTATGAAGGGAGAAATAATTATTTTGTTTAATATTTTCTCTAATGCCCTGTCATTCTCTTTTGGTCTTAACATTTGTTTTAGATATATCCATGGTATGTATGAAATCTACTTAGTTACTTATCTTTTTGGTTACTTCCAATCAGGATATATCACAAAGGCATATCTGAAACTGTCGTATGTATAAATGGAATGATAGAATTTTGTTCACAATTCTAGTCTGTTTTACATATCTTCTTTAACTAACCCACCTACCACACCAGTCACTGATAAAATTTTTAGTTGGCATTTTGTCATGCTCTGTACATACAATGAAAGCATTTGATTATTGTCATTGTTGATGACAGCAGACTTATTGATGAACAGAAAAATTTCAAACAGTCCTATCCAGTGGGCTATGCTTTTTTTAAAAAAATTATTTTATAAAGTTCAGACCAATGGACACATGTTGAAGCATAAACTTAAAGTTTCAGATATGAAGATACATTCTGGAAACATTATGACCAGGCAGGCAGTAATTTGGACTTTGTCAGGTACTGGATTTCCTAAGACCAGAACTGTACACCAGAGAGGGAATATCTGTTTCAATTTAACTTCCCATTTTCAGATGAGAAAACTGAGGCTGGGTAGATAAGATGGTCACAGTGTTCATTCATGGCAGGACTGCAAGAGCAACTAAGCTTTCTTTCCACTGTCTCTCTCTGGCCCCTTACTAAATCAGGGACACATTTCTCCACAATTCTTTTCCATGTTCATAAAAAAGAAATAAATAAAGAGAAAAGGCATCTACATCCAGTCCTTTCAAGATCCTTCTCGCACTTGCAGCTGACCTTTAATAAGTTAATCTCTGCATAGGCCAAAGGAGGCACAAGGGCAGATAAGTCAATGCCAACAGCTCTCTTGGGGAGCTGGGCTGCAGTTCTCCTTTCATGGAAGATTTCTGTTCTTTAAAATTATTACTAGAGTTCCCTCAATATTCCCATTTCTGTTTCTCTACTTGCAATAAAATGAAGGAAATGAAATTGCTTCAAATAGGAAAAAAGGAAGAAAGAGAAAAAGGCTATGCCTATACATACAAAGAGGAAAAAGGTCCCCAGAGGAGTGGAAAAAGAGATATTCGGATCCACAGTTGTCCAGCCTGCCTGTTTTCAAATCCTGAATTTACTGTATGATTCATTTCACCCTTCACTTCTCTGAGTGACTACTCCACATCTTAAGGAACTGAGTAACTTCCGCACCTCAAGCAATCATATAGAATGTACTTATTTTCCTAACACCATAAGATTTTATATCCATCATTTGACACAAATCCATAATTTGACAATGATCAATTATGCTTTTCAAAGACTTTTAATGCTATGTTAACATGCACAGTAAGCAAGGGTGCCATTCTTATTTTCAATAAGGACATTCATTAACTTGCTATCATCTCCTCTTCGGTAAGGACGATTATTTTGGCAGTTATTGGCAAATCTCACAGTTTCTGAAAATCATGTGGTTCACTGACACATTTTTAGGAATTGAAAAGTCACTATCAAGTAAATAATTTAAATCAAATCTATTTTCCCTCTCTTTTAGTTGGGTAATTTGAACAGTAGGTGTCATGAATTTTCTGAGTTGACTGGACCTTTTGATTGTAGCCTATTATGTACGTGACTTTAAAAATTGTCAAAAATGGCATTTTATCACTTCTTTACAAGTATGTGATACAATTTTACCTTAGAACATTTTCAAGTTTTAATAAGAATTTAATAATCTCTGATTTAGAAGCAGAGCAAAGCTGTTGAATTTACTAGAGGCTAACATATGGGAAGGTTTTTAAGGAGCCATTCACATCAAACCCCCCAAATGGTTTTAATCAGCAGGTATCCCAATGTTTATTTAATGAAGAAATGTATGAACAGCTGCTGTCTCCCAATTTTAGAGGTAGTTATCTTTCATTGTGCTGCAACATATCAGGAAGAAGAACAGATTTTAGCTGCAATTTGGGATCATTCTATTAGATATGCAGGACTCCAACAGTAGATTCATACAAGAATAGGGAGGCTAGTTTAGGGAAGAAAATCAAATACAACAACTCTGGGGATGGGATCTGTGGGTCCTGTTTTAGGATCTATTGCTTAGTTTCTAGGTCATAAGAAATTTTCAAGTTTAGATTAAGCCCTAAAAGACCTTTGTGAATAAAAATTAAAATCCAGTCTGACACTGATTCTTGACTGCAGATGGACATATGGAACACATTTTTATGGCCCAGTGCATGGTGGGCATTGACAATATCATGGTATGTCTCTAACTATGCCAGGTGGACAACTGAGGCTGTGCTGTGGCCCAGAGGGTTTATAGGTTGATAACTCCCAGAACAGACAGTCTGACAAGGCATGTCTAGTTGTGAATGCATTCTTTATTTTACTCCTATTTATACCAAGAGATTTGGGACTATACATGTATTTATTTCTTTGGTACATGTCTGCCTTCTGAACAAATATGAATTGGGGGGACATATACTGATTGCTCTCTCTCAGTATCAGCAGGACCTCCTAAAAATGGATAAAGGTGCTATTTAGCAACTTTAATAGGACTTACTTTATAGAGCAATTATGAGAACATTTTGATAACTTTGGTCTTGGGGATAAGATTAACTACAGCCTTACAAGGTTTGCCTAGTATTTCTTGTGAAGAGTTCCAAGGTTTGGCAGAATGAATCTTTTAAGAAGGGTAGCCCTGAATCTGCTATAAAGGGGCCTGCTGTAATGTGGATTAAGGTTATTAAATTCTCCACCCAGGGCTATTACAAGTGATGAGTTTATTTGGGAAGTTCCTTGAGAATGCAAGTTCCGCCCCCCCCCCCCCGCATCTTTTTCC